AGTTTCAAGGGAATAGGTTCAGGGGTTTCTGGGAAACTGCACCTCAAAGTCCTGAAAGCAAAACTCATGTCGTGTGTGTGTTAAGCCACACCTCTGGCTGCTAACAGGCAAAACTCATGACATGGGTGCTTGTGTGACTGTGTCTGTCTTAGGGCACAGGGAGATGAAAAAAACTACTGCAGGCCTGCTAGGCCCTGCTGCTGCCACAAAGCCTGCCAGCTGTCAAGGGGATAGGTGCAAGGGGAGTCTGGGTTCTTGGTCTCTGCACCTGGCCAGAGACAGGCAAAACTCATGACATGGGTGGGTGACACAGTGTGTGTGTTCAGGTGCTCCCTTTCTGGTGCTGGGGCCTCTTCACAACATGGCAGTGTGCCCCAGTGAGGACTCCTCCTCTCCTACAGCTTCATCCTGGTCCACCACTTTAAACGGAAGCAGGTAAAAATAACTTAGTGACTCAGCAGTCAGCACCAGTAGCACCAGCAGCATCTAAGGTAGCCAAACTGAACTGTCGGGCCCTTCTTTCCTCTTAAGTAGGAGCACCTCGTGCATATCTGTTAGGTGCGCCCTCACTGTGCGACTCTGTGTGTGTGTTTGTGTGTGTGTATTTTTGTTCAGGTGCAACCTTCCTGGTGCTGGGGCCTCTGCACACATGACAGTGTGCCTCAGTGGGGTCTCCTCCTCCCATACAGCCTCAGTCTAGCCCACCACTGTAAACTGCAACAGGTAAAATAACTGAGTGACTCAGGAGCACCAGCAGCAGCATCTCAGGTAGCCAAACTGTCAGCCCTTCTTTCCTCTCCAGTAGGAGCACCTGGTGTGTGTCTGTTAGGTGTGCCATCACTGTGGTGCCAGACATCTGACTTTTAGGTGCCAGACATCTGACTCCCCAGGTACCTCTGCACTTTTACCTTTGCTGCTACATTCCCCTCCCCCCCACCCCAGCCTGTCCCTTACCCCTGATGCCTCCATTTCCATTTTCACTGACTGGCTTTCTTGCCTGCATTGCATGTCAGGCTGGCCTCTGGCTTCTTTACTATTCCTTCCATCCAGGACTAGGAGACACACCAACTGCAGGTGCTTCCTCAGCCTGACAAAGCATTTTTCAGTACAAAAGCTGGCATCCCAGGCAGCTAAGCTAAGCTCCCCTGAAGCTTCACAACCGCGCTACAACCAGTAAGCCTCAGGCCTGTCAAAGACGTGACAGATCTGTGTTTTCCCCAGCCAGGACTGTGTGTGTGCATGCGTTAGCTGGAGGTTATGGTGCCTCCTACCTGCCTTTTACCAGGGGATCATTGGTCCTGGCATTTACCAGGCTGCTGCACCACCAGCAGTCCCACCAGGCCTCCCTACCCTGGCAGGTGCAGTTTTAGTGGTCATGCCCAGGACCTGGGGCCTCCTCCTTCCCCATAGCCCCAGCTCATACCTCCAAGTTTGTCCTGGCAGGGGAGCAAGCTCAGCAAGGGCATGTTCTTCCCCTGCTGGCTGGTGATGCAGTGAGTGCCCCCTCCAGCTGGAAGTGGGGCATTAACTGTTTTTTTTTTTAATGAAAAAAGGAAATAGATGCAGACAAAGTGAGAAGAGTGGCACTCAGTCTGTCTGCAGGTGAAGCTCGGGGAACCCCAGGAGCAGGAGGTTCACTTTCAAGAAAACCAGCTGCTCTATCAAACCAGGATCCAAACAGGTGCGGTGGGGTGTCACAACATCCCCAGCAATGCTGAACACCCTCCTGCTTGGGACACTGGTTGGTGGACAGGACAGGTGTTGCTGGGCAACCGTGGCCAGATCCTGCCACATCTGGCTGCAGCTTGCCTGATAGACCAAGAGGTTGCAGTCCAGTGGCTCCACATCCTCAGCGAGATAGGTAGCCACCAAAGCCTCATTTCTACCTGCGTTCTGGTGTGTTTGGACCCTGGCATTGAAGCCATGCCCTTGGCCCACTTTAGCAGTGGCTGGCATGGAGAAGACTGGCTGGTGCTGGTGCCAGTGGTGGTACTGTGCTGGGAGTGCTGGTACGGGAAAGTGGGTCTTCCTCTTCCACATCCCCTTGCCTCTGCCCTTCTGCCTCCCTGACTTTGTTGACCAGCACCTGCATCCAGTGATCGAGGGTTTTGGTGCACATGCTTTCCTTCATCCTTGGGTCACACATGCCCACCAGCATGTGGACCGTACTGGACCGTAAGGGATCCAGCCATCTCCTGATGCCCTCCTTCAGTCACCTCACCAGTGCCTGCACGTCTAGTGACAGTGGCCTGCCCCAGCCAGGAACATTGATCCCCTGGAATTTCTCCATTTGGCTCTCCAGTTCCCTCACTATGGGGATCACCTGGCTAAGGGGTCATCACCAGCGCTGAGGGTTTTGGTGGCCTTGAGGAGGGGTTTGAGGACCACCAAGATCTGGGAGATGGTACCCCACTCAGCACTGTTCAGGGGGTTGCTGATCCTGATCTCCCCAGGCAAGGCCATCTCATAGATGGCTTTCTGTTGTTCCACCAGCCTTTCAAGCATCAGGTATGTGGAGTTCCACTGAGTCGCCACATCCTGCATGATTTTGTGCTGTGCAATGCTCAGCTCTGCCTCTTTCTTCCACAGTGTCTTGCTCCCCTTGATGCTGCGGTAGAAGTAGCCTGCCACCCTCCTGCATTTTTTAATCAGCTGTCTCATAGTGGTAGTAGTGGCGGTGCCATCACTGGCAACTTGCCCAACAAGCCACTCCTGTACCATATGGTTCATGGCCACCATAATCTCCCTGTGTGGGACTCATTCAGCACCTCGGCTTGGAGGAGAGCCCACCGATGGCCTCACAGATTGTACCAGTGTTCTGTGAGGGAGAGGTAGGCGTGATCCCCACCCCAGCTGCCCCAGATGTCAGAGCTGAAGTGCAAGGCTACCTGTGGCCCTGCCTTGTACAACTCCTCCCTCAAGTACTCCCTGGATGCTTCATACAAGGAAGGCACCACCGTCCTGCTAAAGGTGGTGCGTGCAGGCACTTGGTAAGATGGGGCCACGAGTGCCATAAGCCACCTGAACCCTGGCTGCTGAGCTAGGGAGAAGGGCTGGCTATTCAGAGCAAGCATCTCTCCAATGGTCTGGGTAATCTTGCTCACCTTGGGAATGTGTCCCCCTCTGTCTGCAGCTTTCCCCCACTGTTCCAGGGCGGGAAAAAACAAATATAAATTGAAAGAAATGAATTGGAAGTAGACAGATGCTAAGCTAAGCTAAACTAAGCTAAGCTATATCCTATCCAATCCTTTCTAACAACAAAAAGTAGCAGGCCACTGACTAGGAAGCCAGGCCGGTAGCCACAGTACCTGTGAGATGCTGTTGCTCAGGCAGAAACAGCTTCAGGAAAGGGACAGAAAAGCCTGCACTCAGAGGCTTTTATGCTGTTTCTATGTCCCTCCCCCAAGACGCTGTGACTGGAAGGGCAGTCAGGGAGAAGTCACAGTCACTGGCCAGCTAGAGATATCAGTCCTTCCCTCCCCCCCTCCTCCCTCTTCTAAGTTTCTGTTTCCCCATAAAGACCACCTTCAAAATCTCCAAATTGCTGAATCTCTTCCGAATCTTTTCTAAATTGATTCAGATTCAAAAAGTTTTAAGCTTCTAGCAATTCGATTCGGATTTGGAGATTCAGCCTCCGAATTGGGCCAAATCGGATCACGAACCAAAGCTTCGCGTTGCCCTAATATAATCCTCCCCGGCACTCCCCAAGTACTAACAAGCAAAACCACAGCTGTCTTGAATGAATATAGTCCTGTGCATTCAAAAGATTTAAAAAGCTGGGGAGCGGGGGAAGTGGAATTTAAAATTTTAGTTAAGATCGAGCAGAGCAGACTGGCTAAAAGAGGAGATGTAATAAATTTTAATTCTATAGCTTGAGGTGCTCAGCCTCCAGCCACCAGGCCAAATGCAGTCTGCAGAGCCATTCAATCTGGCCCACAGGGCTCCCCACAGATCGGGAAATTTGGCAGTGCGAAAGCAGTGAGCTGCCAAATTCCTATGCCCTCTGCCTGCACAGCCAGATCTAGGCTGGCCATGCTCCCTTCCCCTCCCCCTCCCCCTGCAGGAATGACTCAGGGCTGAGCCACACCCCTTTCCCTCCCATGGGGCTTGATTGAGGCTGGGCCATGCCCCCTTCCCTTCTGCAGGGCTGGATACAGATTGGGCCATGACCTCTACCCCCCATAGGGATGAATCGGGGCCAGGCTGTCCCCTGGTTTCCTGTGGATGGGGCCTTGCCACACTCACCAGATCAGAGCCACTGGCCACATCTGGCCTGTGTCTGGCTTGAGCACAGCTCATCTAGCCTGTTAAGAAAGAAGGTTGAGCACCACTGCTATAGCTGATTGAGGTCAGGGAGGGAGGGATGTAGTTCCTTTTGCTTCATGAACAACGCATCCCCCCCAGTGGCTGTGGGGGGCATGGCAGTGGCGGGAGTGTGGTAGCAGCAGGAGCACAGCAGCGGTAAGTGAGGGAGCTCCCACAGCCACTGCCGGCGCTGGCAAGCGCTGACCAAGGGTTGGCGAGCACCCACAGCCTCTGCTGACAGTGGCGGCAGTGGCCAGTGGGAACCACAGACTGCCCGCAGATGCCATCGGTGGTGTCGGTGGCGCGGTAGTGAGTGGCCGCTGCCCACAGGCGCTGCCAACAGTGTCAGCAGCACCTTTTTGCAGGGAGTGCACCGCCATGCTCAGGGTACACATGTGCCCACATGCACCCCCTACGTGTTGCTCCTGTTTTGCTTCTCTACCCAGCTTTGACTGAGATGGGAAGTAGAAAAAGTGAAAGTGTCTATTCTCAAGCATACCCAACCAGCTGAAATCAGGAAGTTCTGCAACTCTTCTTCTGAGAGAGCCTTCCCCCCCAAAAGAGGTTTATAGGTCAAAGGCTTACAGAGACAGTTTCTTTAGGAGGATCTGCATGGAGAATGAGAATGCGACTGAATGGCAATTAATTACTAGCTCTATATCAGTAATGTTTTCCAATTTTGTCTTTTTCTGTAGTTCATGACAAAAAACCCCAATAAGCGACTAGGCTGTGTGGCATCCCAGAATGGGGAAGACGCAATTAAGCAGCATCCATTTTTCAAGGAAATTGACTGGGTTCTTCTAGAACAACGAAAAATCAAGCCACCCTTCAAACCTAGGATTGTAAGTAACAGTTTGAGTAATATCCAGAGAGAAGTTTCTTTAATATCTCACTTGTTGATTTCTTTGGGGGGGTTCATAAAAAAATGAGCCTTGTGTAACAAAGCTGAAATAAAACACAGGCCATGCTGAAGTCATTGCCCTGATATAGGTTGTACTGAAGGTAAGTGTCAGACTAGACTCAGGACACAGTAATATTTTTATATTCAGTCTCATTCAAACATTAAGGGAGCTCAAGTTCTATGTTAAAAGATTTTCCTAAACATTGTAATATCTGAAGAACATGGTTCAAAATAATATGAACTGTCCATAGGAATGATGCACAGTCCCAGTATGCCAAGCTTCACTGGGCTTTGTGTTGGTACATAGAGGAAAATGTTTAGAACTATGTTAAATAAAAATACAGTAACACAATGTGAAGGTGTAAAACCAATAAAGAAAACACAAACTGTGCATCATGGTCTAGTTTAAGTCTATGCATCTTGCATACTGCTAAGTAGTAATAACATATCCATCTTTTGAATCAAATAATTTAAATAAACAGCAGCCTCACTAGATAAAGTAATTGAAGCCAAGCAAAAAATGTTTTTGTTATTCTTGTCTTCGTATAAATGAAAATAGCCAAACAAATCTGACGTATTTATATCTTACACACATGCCAGCTTGTGGGCTGACAATTATATGCATAGCAAATTTTGTGAAAGAACGTATCTGACAGCATTGATTTAGGGTGTAATAAAAGACTGCAAACATAGTATTTAACATTTCACCAGAAAATATCCTTTTACTCTGAATGCCAAAACCCATGAACATCATTTGGCTGCTTTTAATTTTGCTTCCCCTCTATTGTACTGTGTGATCTTGTCTGCAAATAGAAAGTACTGATTTTTTCTTTCTTTAGATAGTTTATGAAGATATTAAAAACATTGTGCTCAACACTGAATCCTACTGTCATAAAAATTAGATGCAAGAAAACCCTTATTGAGTCATCTAGTCCAGCTCTATGCAGAACTGATCTCTGTTACATAAGAGTCTAAGTATAATATCCGAAGTGCCTGGGTTTTCAGGACATCCCTGGATGAATATGCCTCTGCCTAATGTTCACAGGAAGATTTTTCTGGATGATCAGCATGAAACTTTCCTTTCATGATTTCATCACCTTAATTCTAGTTTTATCCCTTCATAACAAATCCTTCCCATTCATTATTTACACCTATCACATATTTGTAGACAGTTACCAAGTTGTAGCGAGTGTTTAGCTAGGCTGCGTATCATTGACCCTTTTACCATTTCCAGAAGAAACTTGTCCTTTCATTCCAGGATTCTTTTTGTTTCTGTTCTCGAACTTCTTGCTTGCAGTAATAAGGGGTAGGCGATCAATGTGCACCAATCCCAGGTGCCTACTTAGGAGTGGGCACAAGAGTAACTGCCTAGCCAGACCCTGCCACTGTCCTTGTGGGTGAGGGCATAGACGTTGGTTGTTATACCTCTTCTTGTTTGTTAATATCTTTCTCATGGTGGAGTGACCAGAACTGAATGCAAACGTCGAATTTAATCCATAATTGTTTTGCTCCAGTCTTCCAGTATTTCCTTAATTCCTTTGTGCTTTCTGAAACTGATTATTACTGGCCCAGTGTGCTTGTAAGCTATTTTCCCTGGATATACAAGGACACATGTTATTTACTGGCTGTTTTACACATGTTCATATTTTTTGATCATTTCTTTACTGGTGATTCAAGAGTAGGTATTTTTACAATACCTTCATTATTTAAGGCTGCTGACAGATGTGAAAAAAATGCTTTACTTTCAGCTTGGCTCACCTCCACGCCAAGCGCAGTGCATGCCCAGAAGAGGCATCACATCAGTTTCACCCGGCCTGCCCAATTTCTGTATAGATCGGGCACTTCACTGGGGCTTTTTTGTGCTTTTATCTAATATCTGATTGACTCAACAATTAGATAAAAGCACTAAAAAGCCTTGCTGAATGTGTGATCTATACAGGAATTGGGTGAGCCGGGTCAAACCGACCCGCTTCTTCTTCTGGTAAAGCTCTGTTTTGTTTTGTATTTCACATCTGCCAATAGCCTAATTGTCTAAGTATCTATTTTTCCTTTTCTGTTCTTGTTAAATTCCATAATGAATACAGTATCTCAGCTATTTTTAATTTGTTGTTGATATAGCACCTCCTAACTTGTTACTGGGCCTACTTTCCGATAATTCATTCTTAGCTTCTTTTGTACCTTTCAGTACCATTAACCTATCCTGCTCATTTGCTCCTTTACCTTTTTCTTTAAGTAACTGGTAATCCTTATTTTTGGTGACATCACCAATTTCCATTGATCTTTGATTCACTCTGCATGGTACCTTATGAACGTCTCTAGGGATAGATGGTTGTTCTGTGAATAATTACTTGTTAAATAATTATAATATATTGTACCTAAATTACACCTTTTTTGTTATTCTTCAGGTTACTTTCTACAATGTTGAATTTTCATGAAACTTCCCATCATGCACTTATTTACTAACTTTATTATTTTTGCATTCTCCAAATTTGCATTTTTGTCGTCTGTACATCTGTATTCTATGCAGCCTTTACTTATGTGAGAGAATTCAGATAATTTGTGGTCTCTGGTGCCAAGTTTCCCTTTTATTTTTATTTTCTCAACCTGTAGTAAGAAATGCATCCAAGATGATTTATTTTCCAACTTGAGCCTATCAGCTTTTTTGCTGTTAGCAGTGTCTGAAAGCATATCATATATAATTGTGCCTTGTTTTTTCTGATCCATCAACTAATTTTGTACCAGCTCCATAGTTTTCCAACTGCTTGGTGTTCCCTGTTGCTTTAGAATTCCCAGCAAGATCATTCTGGAATTTTACTGTTCCACTTGTGCTTGGAAAAGTGATACTGTTTGGAAAAGAAAGCCATGTATAAAGAATTGGTGAGAAGGTCACATAAAGAAAGCATAATTATAAAAAGCATAACTTCAAAGTGGGAGAGGCATCCAGTGGGATTTATATGGGTCAGTGTTAGGCCAGTAACATTTAATATCTTCATAAATGATGTAGAATAAACTTTTATATAGACCTCAAGCTAAGTGGAATAACACACACACTGAAAGATGCACAGAAGGGAGAGGACAGAAGGCAAAACAACCCATAGTTGGCTACACGTAGTCCTCTCTAAGTTTGATTCAAGTTAATAAATATTATTGTAGTTGGCCTTTACAAAAGTGCCAAATGGTATGGCAAGAGATTAACAATTGTTGCACACCCTATGAAAGATGATGATTAATTGAGAATGGCATCTGATGCTGTAGCTGTCAAACAAATCATTTTTTGTTTAAGAAGTGGGGAGAGGTTTACACCCATCAGCGGATCCACAGAAACTCTCTGTGTGCCATTATCTTGTGGTAAGTGGAAGATAAACTTGAGCAATTTACTTTGAATGAAACAACTGTTACTGGATCTACCTTCTAGTAATTCCTTCTCTCTTGGTATATTGCAAAAGCCATTCTTAGTTCCCTTTGTACCTTTCAGTACCATTTTATCTATCTTGCTAATCGCAGTTTAGTCTCTACTTACTAGGCACATCTACATGTTCATTAATGCACCATAATTACGACACATTGTTTAGTGCCTGTAAATACAGGTACTACCTTAATTGGTGCTACTATGCATTAGCACTGGTGCATGCTTTTTTGGTGATGCTAATGCTCAGTAGACTAATTCTACTGGGCATTAGGGCATTAGCATGGGTTTTGCCTGTTGCACTAATGCACGGCAGAATTAGTCTACTGTGCTCAAAGCGTCTTCTGTAGGTATGCCCACTGTTGGATAGAGTAGACACACACAACAGTTTCTGTGGATCAGCTGACTCACAGTAAATCCCTCTTACCTGGGTTTCAACTAAGTATAATTTATTAATTTCTCTGTTCCCTAAACATATATAAGGAAAACAGAATTTGGTTTAGGACTAGGAGAAGAGCTTTGAAAAAAGAGGCCTTATTTGTAGCTAGAACATGTTTGCCTGTGCTATGAATGCACACGTGTGGCGAGGAGTGAACAAAATGCCTATGCAGTCATGTGTGCATCCAGATCCCAGATTTGCATGCACGCATACAGCTGGGCCCATATGAAGGGAGTACACATTTATACAGATATGCCTGTAGGGCCGAAGATGACTACAGGGGCTTTTGTTCGCCTCTTGTTTCACAATTACGTGAAGAAATAACCAAAAAAGGAGATAGTCCTGTAAGTGAGGGTAAAATAACTGGAAACAGTCTGGAAATTAAAAGAAAAATTTAAGATAATAGGGAAAAATGGTCAAACACTGAGGTCATCAGGCAGTAGAATAATCTGCCAAGGGAGGTCACTGAGGCATCATTATTGGAGGAGTTGTAGAGTAAATTCTGCTCCAGCAACTGCAAACGTGACTGCTGCATTTTTTATTAGTAGCAGTTATTTCCATCCTAGGATCCCTGTATGCTTTTATTCTTGCTCTCTACTTGCTGCAGGCTTGATCCCAAACCTTTTGAAACCAATATAGTGTTCCACTGATTCTGTTGTGTTTTGGGTCAATCCTTGTCATTGATCTTTGTCATCTTTGACAGTAAACTTCTGAAACTATAAATGGACATATACAAGGCAATATAAGATGTGTGCATTAAGCCAGCCCCTTCTCTCCAGGTCATATATGTTATGTCTGACTGACTATGGCCATTCGCATTGAACTTGGAATTTTTCACTTAGACGTGTAAGAATCAACTGTATGACTGTTTATTCACCAGTTTTTCTGTCTTTACACTGGTAGAGAAAACTTGATTTCCACAAGTCCCAGGTGACTCAACATTTTTGGCAGTGTTGGATTAGAAGAGGTTTCTCAGCAGTTATTCAGTCAGTGGCTGTATCCAAGTGAATTACCATTTTTAAATTCAAGCAATATTGTATTTTCCATCATTTCCAAAATGATACACTGCCCCGACATTCTCTTGGAAGCCTAGCTC